CCAGCCCGCGGTCTGACTGGCCGACGCTGTGTCGGTTTCGGTTTCGGGTTGTTTGTTTGGATATCCGTGATTGTTTCATGATTATGGCTTCTAGATGGATACTATACGTATGTAATACTGTTGTTTGCTACTAATGAGTCAAGTTAGAGATAGCTTGGTCTCAGAATATGGTTTCTTTGTTTATTTCATGTGTAGGTGACTCGATGCCTCGGGAGAGTATTTGCGGTGATGGACCGGGAGTCGGCTTGGGGATAAGACGACGTCCGTGGTGGTCAGAGATCATGCGGGATACTTAGGCTAGAGTTGATGCACGTGGTTGATGGAGATTCCATATGGCATACGATTGAGGTATTGTGTGCGTATGGGATGCGGAATCGAATTTGGAAGGAGTCCAAATTTGGTACGATTGGTTATGTAAAGTTTGTTTCTTGTACTAGAGGGTTTCCTAAGGTGTTTAGGACTCTTAGTATGAGTTTGGTTCGTGGCTTTAGGCTGCCTACCTCATGTATAAATAGAGAGGGAGCGTGAGACTTCTCGGTATCGCTTTAGAGAGCAATTGAGTTGAGTTTTGAGTTAGGGTTTCGAGTTTAGTCGAAATTTTTGTAAGGAATGCTGTTGGTGCACTTTGTAAACACAGAGAGAATCAACAAAGTTGTCATCTACTTTAAGAGTTCTTCGATTTGTGTTTCACCGGGTTTCGGCGGTCTGACCGGCGGCGCACCAGCGGTCAGACTAGTGGCATCGCGGCGGTCCAACCGGCGGGCACACAGCGGTCAGACCGTCTTCGGTGACAGGAGGCAGTGACGAGTTTTGGCGGTTAGACCGGTAGATCAACACCGGTCAGACCGGCGGCTACGCTTCGGTCAGACCGGCTAATCTACTCCGGTCAGATCGATCTCATCAAAATTGAGGGTAACTTTTATTTCCGCTAAAAGTTTTCGGTTTTTGGGTATACCAACCATTCACCCCCCATTTGTTGGCTTATTTCTTATATTTCGATCCTACATATTAGAATGACAATAAAGCTGGATTACACATAGGAAATTAATTCTTCAGATTCTAAGACAATCTGAAGAAAGAGGAAAATGTGGTAGAAAGGACATCACGTCGGTTTGATTGTCAATGAGGTTCGTCCATATTGCTGGAATGCTGGACGAGACTGACGACCTCGCCTCTCGTCATGTATCGTCATCTCTACTTGTTGGCAGCCATGCAAGTTATTGTTTCAGGTTTTTTTTCAGTTAAAAAAAAGAAGTGAACTTTCTGTTGTTGCACAATTGTAGTGGCTTGCGATTAGAAAATTTAGAGGAGTTTGAGGTCGAATTGTCATCTCAATGACTCAATTTCCCCCCTAGCGAAGCGGTTGCATGAGCGGAAGCAATCCTCCTTGCTTTTGAAGCTCGACATTGCGCAGGCATTCGATTCCATCTCCTGGCAATTCATTATAGAGGTTCTGGAACACAAAGGGTTCAGTAGCCGTTGGTGTGCTTGGATTGCCATGCTTTTCCGAACAGCAAGCACGCGGGTCCTGATCAATGGCATACCAGGGAACCCTATCTTGCACCGGCGAGGGCTGCGCCAGGGGGATCCAATCTCTCCCATGCTGTTCGTCCTCGCTATGGACTCGTTAAGCTCTCTTTTCTCTAAAGCAGAGAATGAAGGGCTGTTACAGCCGCTGCACCTGCCCTACCGAACTTCCCTCTACGTGGACGACGCGGTCGTTTTCATTCAGTCGGATCCTGAGGAAATCAGCACAACAAAGGAAATCCTACACATCTTTGGGGAAGCAACAGGGCTTAGGGCGAATTTCGCCAAGTGTGCAGCTCTCCCAATTCAGTGCAACGACGACAACATTGCACTGATCCAGGATGAACTTCCATGTCAGGTCACAGCATTCCCTTGCACTTATCTAGGACTGCCCCTTTCCATCTTCCGTCTTCGCAAAGAAGACCTGCAGCCGTTTGTGGACAAGGTAGCCTGTCGGTTGCCGGTATGGAAGGCAGAGCAGATGGCGCCCATTGGTCGGGTCACTATGGTAAATGCGGTATTAAGCTCTATACCGATCTATCTGCTGATGGCCATCAATGTGCCAAAGTGGGTGATAAAGAGAATCGATAAGGTCCATCGCGGCTTCCTCTGGGCCTCCGGTGCCGCTGGGCTTGGCAACTGAGGACATCGCCGGAAAAGCCATGGCATGGACTCAACGTTCCGATCTCGCAAAAGGAGAGGAACCTGCTCCAAGTCTCTTTGACATGTCGAGTCAGCAATGGAAAGAACGTGCTCTTCTGGGAAGACAACTGGATCCAAGGGTCGTCAATCCGCACCCTTGCGCCGGCTATGCATGCAGCGGTCGTAGCAAGAACGCGGAATCGCAGGACGGTTCGCGAAGCACTCCAAGGTAGAACATGGATCCGGGATATATCTGGGCTTTGGGAATCCAAGCTATCCTAGAGTACCTCAGCTTGTGGACATCTTTGCAATCCTTGGATGCCCTATTGGAAGAGCCGGTTTCAATCATCTGGAGATGGGAGTCGTTAGGAGAATACTCAGCTCGCTCAGCTTATCAGTCCATGTTTGTGGGAAGGGTCCAATTCCAGGACAAGCTTATCTGGGGGTCGTTAGCACCACCCCGATGCCGCTATTTCCTGTGGTTAGTGGCACTAAACAGATGTTGGACGGCCGATCGTTTGCAGAGACGGGGTTTACCACATCCTGATTGGTGCGTCCTGTGTGATCAAGGTGACGAGACGATTGACCATCTCCTGGTCGCATGCCCGGAGTCACGTCAACTGTGGTGGTTCGCACTCCGAGAAATTGATTTGTCGGACATACTGCAATTCAACGAACCCTCCTTCCTCTTATGGCTTTGTGATAAGAGAATGAAGGTTGCCAAAGCTCAGCGACGAGGATTCGACACTGTTGCAGCTTTGATAGCTTGGACTATTTGGAAGGAGCGGACAACAGGGTCTTCAACCAACAGCAAAAGACCTGGGTCGAAGTGGCAAAAGTGATGGCGGCCGAGGCCGAGCTTTGGCGCTTAGCGAACGCGGCCATGCCGGAGTTACCTCTACCGACCACGGAGTGGCGGTCGCAAAATTTTATAGGAGATTAGGCCTTAGATTTTGTTGTCCATCCGGTACCCTGTCCCCTACTTTATTTTCATTTTCAAAACTCTGTAAATAATCTTTATTTCTCTTAATACAAAGATGTGCATCTTGCATATTCCAAAAAAAAAATTCCCCCTAGAATTATTGAAGTTGGGTTTTGATTGGAGTTTGAAGCTTGTCAAGGGACAGATAGATACTAGTAAAGTGAAGTCACCACTGTTATTATTACTTGGCTCCTCCTCGTCAAGACGGACGCTGACCACACAGGCCAAGGCAACCTTCTAGCTAGGGTCAGAGTGTGTATTGTAATGCTGTATACGTAAACAAGGTGCGGCGGCGCCAACAGGGACGGCGAGAAACCGGCGGTCTCATCTTTGTCTCAGCTTGCCAACTTGGTTTGTTATCCAAATACTCCTCCTCCAGAGATGGCATCTGGAGCATCAAAATCAGCTACTACTAGTAGTAGCTAGCGTTCTGAAGTCTGCACCGTGCAGGAGGAGTACATAAGCAGGCAGACATGCAGCCTCTACATCTCCAAATAGTCCCATACGGTACTTTCATCTCTGCTGGTGTCTCTCTTTGGGTTATCTTCTTCTTCTTCTTCTTCCCGTCTCTCTTTAGGATCTCGAGTTTGCTGCTTGTGCTGTCCCTGAAGAAGGAAACTAGCTAATAAGTGCATGCAGTAGGTGTTGGCGAAAGGGGATCAAGGTAACAAACACCTCTCTGCACTTCTGCACCTGTGCACGGTTACCCTCTGTAAATTGTGGTTATACTTGTCATAAGAAATGCGCATCCATTTTGTAGTTTTGTGTAGTAACGAGTACATAATGTTTGCGTCCACTGCTACTCTAATGGACATACAAGGCAACGTGATTATCGAAACGGTACTTTAGAGAAAAAAAAAGTTACTAAATTTCTGCAGAAACGACATGGCAAAGCAGCCCGCGATGAACGATGGCTATCCATGGGAGTAACATTCACTAGCCAACCGTCTCATCTTTTCGCTTATACTTATACTTATCAATAAAAATTTAATTTTTCAACCTTAAATTTGGAGCTGATTTTAAGATTTTTTTCATCAAAGTTTTTTTTAGCTTTTGCTTTTAGATCGCTAATAACACGTATATAAAAGTTTTATTTACAAATTGCTTTACGTTTGCAAATATGCCATTTCACTTATTCCGTGAATAAGCAAAACGATGGCTCCGTAGGAGATGTTTGGTTGGTTATCACATTTTAGTCATGCCATAGTTTTTTTTAGACATGTATTTGCTTCGTTGTCGTAACTGTGTTATGCCATACTTTCTTATTCTCGAGATACACATGTCACACTCTTAAATTTTAAGCTCACTATACTACACTTACTATTAACTACTACCTCCGTTTCAAAATGTTTGACGCCATTGACTTTTTATCACATGTTTGACCAATCGTCTTATTCAAAAAATTTAAGTAATTATTAATTCTTTTCCTATCATTTGATTCATTGTTAAATATATTTTTATGTAGGCATATAATTTTACATATCTCACAAAAGTTTTTGAATAAGACGAACGGTCAAACATGTGCTAAAAAGTCAACGGTGTCAAACATTTCGAAACGGAGGGAGTATTTCTGAGCTACACTTGTACCACCCTACTACAACTGGTGTAAGCTTAGTTACGGTCAAGTTAGATCTCAACACGAAAAAAACTTATAACTCACTCCCTCCGTTTAAAAAAAAGAGATAACCTAGAAGTTATACAGTGAATCTGAACAATCTCATTGTATTAGGAGAGACAACATGTATTTGCTTATATGTTGTTTTTTTTTTTTAAAGGATGGAGTAGAGCGTAGCAGGGCAAAGTTCGAGGCGCTGTGCCGTGCTCCAAATCATCCATATCATGTTTGTTCGTTTGTCCGTACATATCTGATGCTAAGTTTTTTCTAGTCCTCCTTATCCACAACCCCTCCTCCTCCTCCTCCTCGTGCTTCTTCCAGCTCCAGGGCGTGATTGCGGGTCGCAACCCGACACAGGTACCGTGCCAGGCTGCCATAGGCCAGCTCCAGCATCGGCGCCAACAGAGTCGCCCACAAAACCGCTCCCTTTTTTTTCCCTTTCTTTGTTTGTCAGTGTCCACTGCCATAGCACTACACTGGTGGCGATACTGATACGTGCAGAGAAGCAAACCAACGAGTTCTCTCACTCGCTATAAGTGGGAGCCTCTATCTTATCTCCACTTCTTCTTCAGACTTCTCAAAGAAGAAGAGTCAGGCTCCTCTTCCTCGGCATCCTCCTCCTGAATTCTCCTTCTCGGATCACCTCTTCTCTTCACCTCCTCTCTCTCCCATCCGCTGCAACCGCCGCTTACAAACGAGAGTTTAATTGGTATTTTAGTCTTCTGCACATCCATCGGTACGTTCTTTCTTTCTTTCTTTCTGCATGATTCAGTTTTCCCGTTGTTGATTGCGATGATCCAGCCATCTATCCGGGACTGGTTTCCTCTCCCTTTTTGTTGGTCTCTGTTCTTGGGTTGGGTTTTCAGTCCGGGGAATGAACTCGCTCGCTAGGCTGGAACTCTGGATCTGGTGATCAAACGGCGTCTCTGAAAAATCAGGGTTGATGTGGTGGGGGTGGGGTGGGGGGATCGAGTTCATGTCTCTTTTGTTCATCTTTGATGGGAGAAAAATGAGTATAAGAATAAATTGCGATTTGATTTGATTAAACTTAATTAATTATTTTTTGTTGTCCTAGAAATGATGAAGTGTTGCTGTTGGGAGGGAGGTAGTAATAATGCTTGCAGAATAGTCGCCCTGTCACAATCAATCGTCCATTGAGGATAAAGCGCTTATCCAACCACAGCACCACACTATGGCACCTAACTAGAAGAATCTTGCATCCCACTCACTTTGCCACTTGCGAGCTGCTCACTCTGAGCTCTTCAGATATTTAGATCCAACTTTGCTTTTGAGTTTGGATAATTAATTAATCATGTTTCTGTTCTTATAATGAAAAAAAAATCAGATTGTTAAACACAAAGGTATTAATAAAAAGGTTCAAAACACCAAAACCTCATCTTTGATTGCTCTATTTTAACCACCACAGAATAATAATCCTTTTCTCTGAAACCTGTAATTCAGTAGTACTTGTGTCCATTGATTTATGATTGCCCATTTTTATCAGATAATTATACTTGTTGGATGCTTACAAGGTTTACTAATGTTTTGCCTCTTGTTTTCCGTTTGTATCTCATTATCTGTATCTCTCTGAAACAGAGCTCATCATCAGATTGAAACAAATAAAGTGAAGTATTTGATCACTTATATGGCCCTCAAGACGCTGCAAGTTCCATCTAGCTTTGCAAGGCCGATCAACCGCAGCTTCATCGGTTCTTCTTCTTCTTCGTCGTCGTCGTCTCAGTTTTCTCTGCGGCCAAAGCCTGCATCGGCACGGCTCGCCGCAAGTGTCGCCGGAGAGAGGCGCCTCGAATGCAGGGGCGGCAGCAGCCTGCACGGCTGCGTGGACGAGGGCGCCGCGGCGGCGTCGAGGAGGCGGCAGGAGCAGGCGGTGGAGATCCCCATCGTTCTGTTCCCGTCGGTGGTCTTCCCCGGCGCGACGGTGCAGCTCCAGGCGTTCGAGTTCCGGTACCGGATCATGGTGCACACGCTGCTCCAGGAGGGGGTCACCAGGTTCGGCGTCGTGTACTCCGGCGGCGGGGTGGGGGGCGGGGTGGCGGCCGGCGAGGTGGGGTGCGTGGCGCACGTGGTGGAGTGCGAGCGGCTCGTCGACGGCCGGTTCTTCCTCACCTGCGTCGGCGGCGACCGGTTCCGCGTCGTCGGCGCCGTCAGGACGAAGCCGTACGTGGTCGCGAGGGTCCAGCCCCTGGCCGACGCGCCGCCCAGCCAAGAACGCGGCGGCGACGGCGGCGGCGACATGGTGCGCCACCTCGTGGAGCGAGTGGAGGAGCAGCTCAAGAACGTGGCGGCGCTGTCGGACAAGCTCGGGTGGAGCCGGCCGCCGCTGCCGTTCCGCGCGACTTGCTCCCCGTCGTCGCTGTCGTTCGCCGTGGCGAGGGAGGTCGTGGAGGACCGGGAGGAGCAGCAGGCGCTGCTCCGGCTGGACGACGCGGCGGCGCGGCTGGCGCGAGAGGGGAGGTACCTGGAGCGGAGGAGCAGGTACCTGGCCGCCATTGCGGCGATCAAGGACGCCCTCGGTGGCCACCTCTACTGCAACGACAAGTAGAGACGACGACGATCGAGTGAGTACTCCGTTAATAACCGGCCACTGGTGAGGACTCCCATGGCCATAGGTTTCTTTGGTTTTGTTTGGCTTCTCTGCTTCAGAATTCAGAGTTCAGAGTTCTAATGTAAATATTTTTGTAAGTTCCTCGAGCTGTTTTTTGTGGTGAAAACTTTGCATTGAGTAGATGTATTTAGGAGTACTTCATAATGTACAGAAGGATTGATGTACCATCTGCAGGTTACTCATCAGGTGATAAATAAGAGTACACCATGTAACATTGTAGCAAAAAAAAAAAGAGTGAGAAATCACACAAATGTTTGTGCAAGGTCCAGTCAATTGAACACTCGCGCTTACACCTGAAGTTTGCACGCTGAAAGCTTATATTTTCGATCCGGATTCAGATTCGGATTCAAATGTTTTGATATGAAGTATTTCTATGCTAAAAGTTTCTATGTATAAACATTACAGGTACTAGCAAAGTATCCCCAGATATATGTTTCGGCTGAACTCCATTAACAATATCGTGCATCGGTGTTGTTATCATGTTTAGATCTCCTATGGCGTTCTACTGCGTTTTTTTATTTAAACGTTCTACTGTGTTTGGTTGCTAATGTCAATTTTGTTGCCGATTTTATAATAAGTGGTATCGGAACCTAACCATGGAAAGAGATCCAAGGCAGAGGTAATATGGAGGTGCCCCACACCGCGACTACTCCACATAATATCCAAGGAGGGACATTGACGCAAGGTGGAGCTCAACGGCGATATTACTGAGTTTGATTGGTGGAGTCGAAAATTCAGGCGGCGTCTTGAACCATTCGATGGGCTACAATCGATAAGGAAGCGATCAGACGTGGTGCTCGAGTCAATGGCGGTGGAAGCAAGTGGTGATTCAATCGATGGTGTCGGACATTTTGGGCAGGTAGCTCGAACTTTTAAGTGAGCTACTTTCAACGGGGAGATGGTTAGAAGTGATACTTAGTGTTGATTGAAGCTAGAGGCGATCACGATTTTGTTGCCCTTGCATTTGTAAATTTGTGCCTGCAAGTTTGTTAAGTTATTAGGATTCATTTCATGCATGTTAGGTGTTTGTTATCTTCCCCGTATTCTATAGGGTAGCTCCAATTGAGTTGGAGAGTGTCGCATGCCTGAGACGGGTGAGTTCACGTCAAACGAGTAGTATGCAACTTGTGCGCCACAATCTGACAAGTAGGATGGCGCTCAATTGTGACAGGTGGTGGAGCAAGCATATCAACTAATTTGTTAGGCCATGTTCCTGTATTTGTGTCAAATAAAAGAAAGAAGAAATCTCTACATCAAGTTTAAGCAACACCAAAACTTTTTCTCCTCTGAATTTAGCTTTGATCATCTTCGAGTGTTTGTTCATGAGCTATGAGTGCAATCCTATGATTTGCTAACAAGTGGTATTAGAGCAATATCGGCTCAGGCTGGTGCCACAAGCCACAGTCACCGCTCTAGGCTCATCGAGGGTGCTGCCAGCAAGCCCATGCGAGGAGGATGCCGCAGGCGTCGCGCACACCACAAGGCGGTAGGCACAGGTGATCACCCTCACTTCCTTCGCGCTGCAATTGTCATCGGGAGGGTGGAGAACAAGGCGACCGTGAGCTCACGGACAGACGGATGGTGAAGGAGGTGTTTGGGGGAGGGGAAGGGGGTGGATCAGCATACTACCCCACCCTCATGAAGACAAACTACTGCGAAAGCCATGAAGGTGATTGTACAGTCCGGGGGTCTATGGGAAGGCGTCAAATATTGTGATGTTGAGTTTTAGGAGGACTGGATGGCATGGGAGACCATTCTCCGGCCATCCCGATGGACATGCTCTCAACTCTCGCACACATGGAACTCCATCAAACTGATGCAGGTAGGTGTGATCGTGTGCACAAGTCCAAGGCGCATATTCTCCTAAAGCAGTACGATGCGATCAAGTTCAAGGATGACAAATTTTTCGAAGAGTTCTCACTTTGTCTCAATGACCTCATCACCACGAGCGCCACCCTCGGTGCCCGAATTGAAAATAGTAAGGTTGTTCAAACTTCCTCAACGTTGTCCTCAGATTTTGCTCTCGATTGAGCTCTTCTCAAAATTAAGGATTTCTCGATTGAAGAGGCCACTGGGCGACTGTGCAACACCAAAGACAAGCTAGCGGCCAAGCTAGTCGCAACATCGGAAAGCTCATGCGCACCGACGAGCAGGGGTAATGGTAACTGCCGCGCTCCAAAGTTATGCTAAAATTATAAAACTGTAGTTTTATTCAAAGAAATTGTAGTAGACATCAAAATCCTTATTTGAAGGGTAACCCATCTTCTTATCCCTCAAACCCTCTCTAGCGTGGGTCTATTTTTCCTATTCATGCTCATGACAAACGGACAACAATATTTGATAATTTGCTAGCAAAGTATGGAATGGAAATTTGAAGGGCTATGAGATAACAAAAGTTTTAACCCAATTCACAATAACTATTAGCACAGAACAATGTATTTTGAAAAGAAAAATAGTGATTGGATTAGAATATTGCAATTGATGTTGACACTACAAAAGTCTTGATTGTGGCTGCAATAAGACTAAGTGGATGTGGCCACTCTTTAACGTCTTCCGTTGTTAAGCCATACAATAAGAGAATACATAAATGTTCACTTTGGCGTTAGCAAAAGCAATGTGCACAAAATGAAATGAGAAGGTGTTATAAAGCGTGTCTTAAGAAACTTGATATCCTACGTGCAAAATAAAAACATATTTGATCAATTAAATTTATGCTTAGCAAGGCTTTACCCATAGAGTGTCGCTACTAATATCATCTTCAAAGCACTAGTCTAACATTACGATAAAAACATATAGAAAGTTTTAGGTGACGAGCAATATGCCAGAACCAAACCTATATTTCCAAACAATGATTTTAACTAAAAATTGGTTGTTTCTCTTTCACGATATACACACGAGCTAAGAGATATAAATCGTCATGTAAACATCCGGAATTTCCTAATTGAAAGGTTTTACTAGCTATTCGTGCTAAGTGACTACGTAAAGACGCATCGAGACTTATATTCATTCAACGAAACAATCTCTGGCTGTATATTGCACCCGATGATAAATTATTTAGTAATGCTAATAAAAGATGGGTTTAACATCATACTCATAATATTACACAATATAAAAAGGTTACTTGAGAGGCAATTGTGGCAATTGTGTTTTCCTTTATAACTAATGTCTTATTGTTAAATAATCTTATCATTTTTTTTCTAATTGTGACGAGGTAAAATACTTTAGTTCTTTTTAGCTCGTACTCTAATTCTATCATGATTCTGTTATGAATTTATTGTAAAATTTGTAGTGATTACATAATAAGATTATGATAAAAAAAGATTATATGATTAGGCTTTCATGAATTAACTATTTGTATATATTCTTAGATTTTGTTTCCTAAATTCTGATTCTTAGTGCAAGTCTCTGAATAATTCTCTCACATTTTCTCCTCTCAAAGGTGCAAGTCTCAACACTAGACTTAGCCATCTATTTATAAGCAGAAAATGGTTGGTTATCCCCTATGAGAAACCCAAAATGCCCTTATATTTCATAGCTACTACTCAAGCCAAATCTAGCCATCCATCTCTTCTTTGGCTTCAAAGGAGTTGCACATCCATGTTTCCTTGAAGGCAACATGTCAGGCTTCAATCCAAATGAAGTCATTCGCTCCACTCGTTGGATTCATGTATCCCAATACATGCCCTCCCACACAGATCGAGTCATTGTTGGTATTTCTTAACGACATTACTAGAAATATAATTTTCAGCAATGGCACAGAAATACTCCTGGTATATTATGGTTACAGAGTTTATCCGCAAGCGCAAGGATATACCATTATAGCATTTCACCCGAGAGTATTCCAAGGGTATCGTATTTATTTTATCCCGTGGGAAGATCATGTAGAGAGAACTTGACTAATAATTTTTATATTACTTGTGATAATCATATTCTAAGCAAGGGTTAAGATAATCCAAGGGTAGAATGACACACAAGCATTAACTACTCATTCTCATGATATATTATCTAAGCTAAGTGGAAAGAAAAGAGAAAGAAAATCTATTCCTATACTTCTAATATACATAGTATAAACACATTTTAGTTATCTGATATACTAACTAATACCCTCTATCCGATGCCCTCCTTGTACTTCGAGAAGCTACCCCTGACTGCCGAGTTCCTTACGATAGCCCGTCATGACCATACAACCGGGGCTAAATACGGATGAATACCCTCCCTAGGGAATTAACTTAGGATTATATACAGGCGCGGAGGAATACCCGTACTGAGCTGTCACCATCAGCGACCCACCTCTCATCCGCAGCATATAACCCCAAATAATGATATCCCATAATCTAGAGACCATGTCTAGACTACCAGATACTACTCTAATATCATCGTCATGACATAGAGTAATTGCATAAGCAAATATTATACCCGCACCAAAGCATCTCCCAGATAAGCTAGCCGTATATTCAGTATAACATGAAAATTATGTAAAGTAGGCATTCATATACTCGAAAAGTATTTCAATACCATAAATGTATAAAGAAGAGTATTCTAATAAAAGCACAAAGCTTACAAAAGAGGAAAGGAAAGTTACTAGAGCCATACCCGAACTCTTCCGAAGACTTCTGGACTCCTGATTTCTACTTTATTCTTATTCCACCAGCTAGATACTACTAAACTAAACTTGAGAGAAATGAGAGAGCTTTTGCTTGAGGTGTGTGTTGAAGTGAAGAGATGAGCTCCTTTTATAGCTGAACTATGATGGTTGTGACGGTTGGAATGGTCGGTAATACCCTCCAACCGTCATTGGGGCTTCATCTCAACCGTCCAGCCAAAACCTAGATCCAACGGAGGCGAGGGAGGTTCAGCCGAACCTTCCAATCAGCCCACCTTTCGGCTGGCGGCCTCCTCTATTGCTCCTTTATGTAGACTTGTGAATTTTGGCTCAATTCATCGTGTCAATTCTGAGTTCTTGACCCATTCATACATAAGTCTGATTCTCGATATCGTCCGATTGATTTATCGTTTGAGTTAATGTCGATTCTCCTCCACTTTATGGTTATTGTCTGCAAAAGGTTAGTAATCATAATACTAGTGGAATATTATTATTTTAACATATTTATGCATTGCAAGCATCACTAGTTCTCCTCTATTTTGGTAATATTGACGGTCGAAACTGATCGATAACGACCGTCAACAGTCATTTATTAATTAATGGGTGTTGACGGTCCTTAAATCATAATATTTGACCGTCAATACCTGCATGTAATGAAATAAAACATGGTATCCAACTTAGTGGTAGGGATTATT